ACATGGACCTCAAAAACCAATGTCTTTGCTTCCTCTCAAGAAGATCTTTCATTACATATTCAACAAATGTATATCGCAGGCTCTCCATGAGTTGGGTACCAACTTAGGCCCAATGCCAGGAGGGCCACAACAGACAAGGTCATTCTTTGCTCTCCAGTCATGAAGAACATAAAATGAGAAGTATAATGGAAAGCCATGGGTGGACAGGTCAAGCCTCTCTGAGGAGGTAATGTAATGGCACCCTCAGGGACCCTTAGGCAAAGGGGCTGATGAGCCAGGACCTGGAGAAGAAGGAAGATGGGCAGACTGGTGTCTCAAGGACCCAGGGAAGATGGTAAAGGTGTTTGTGGGCAACTCTTGAGTTCAAGTCATGTTTCAAGTACAGTGGGGAGCTCCAGGGGATCCGGGGCAAAAGAGGAACACAACCCACTCAAGTGTTTCCTAGACCAGTCCACTATAGAATGGAGAATTCACTGCTGATATGTTAAAGGCCAGCTCTGTCCCCCAAAGCCTAAGTTCTGTGAGTTCCCCCATGCTGGCTGAAGGCAGGAAGAGTGGCTGGCTGGCCTCCCACCCTTCCAGCTGCCACACAGAACCTTCTGTGTGGATGCTGCTGACTCACAAGGCAGTTGTGCTCAGATGGCCATCTGTGGAGCCAACCATCTGGGTTGATATAGTATCTGAGGAATTCCTGGAAACCCAGCCAGGAACCCTCTTGGGTGACCAATGGACTCTGGAGAAAACATCCTCAGCATTGTCCAAGAGTGTACCTGGGCTGTTCTTAGGGTTTGGCCAATGAGTCAAGTGATCTTAGCCCTGTATGATCACTGAATAGCAATGCAGTGAGATGACAGCAGCTCCAGAATGGGGCAACAGTCCTCCAGCCCTAGCCCCAGGCAGCCTTCCATCTAGCTGATGTGCAAAAAAAGAAACCTTGGCCATGAGCTCCAGCTCAAAGTTCATGGCCATCCCAGGGAGAACTTAAGGCTCAGTGGTGTTTCCCAACAGCTTCTAGATGCAGAATCCTGTTGAAGGGGGTGGGGGAGGTTTAATTTATTAACAAATAAAGCTTTACCTCCCTAGCTGTGCCTTCCAAATCCACTCCTTCCCTCCCTTGTTTCCTCCCCGGTATCTTTGGGCCAGCCTCTTTCTTTTTTCAATAGAATTAGACTGTATTGTCTCCCCACCCTCCAATGAGACCCCCTTGTTCTCCACATCAGAGTTCAGGGAGGATTTTCAGAGGCTCCCCACCCACACAGAGAGAGATGGGTACCCCATACTGTCCACTACAGGGCGGGTACAAGAAAAAGGGCACAGCAGGGAGAGAGACCCTAGGTGCTACCCAAACCCTGGGTGACAGGAAGGTCAAGGACAAAGATCCACGACCCCTGTGGTGGGGACCAGTACCGGGAGGGTCCGCTCCCCTCTGTTCAAGCCAGCTGGGTGAGATATATTCACCCTGGCTGGCCCTGCTTGTAGCAGGGTCAAAATCAGAGACTGCCTAGGCTCCACTGGGTCTTCCCCAGGCTTCAGTCCCCCAACAGTTAATGCAAATTTAGTTCCTGACTGACAACAAGAGCGACACCAAAACAGTCAACTATTTTTATCTCCAGATTAATCACAAAAAGGCTAACACTTCCACCTTCCTTGTGATTAAAAATTAGGAGACCAAACTCTATAGTGGTTCAGGATAATAACCAATCCTGTGAGGGAATGTATGAATAATGCATCTCCAGGCCTGGGCTTCTCTGAGACTTCCTCCCTTCCCCACATGGCCCTCGCAATGTACCCCCATCTGAATGGAGAGGTAATGAGTACACACACACACACACACACACACACACACACACACACACA